AAAAATATATAGATATATTAAAAGGAAAGGAAATGTAAACAGTTACAAAAAATATATATAAATATATTAAAGGAAATGTAAACAGTGAAAAGGAAATGTAAACAGTGAAAAGGAAATGTAAACAGTGAAAAGGAAATGTAAAACAGTACTGGCACAGATTGTGGGGGGGTAGAATTCAGACTTTAATCTCAGAATTCTGACTGAATTCTGACAATAAAAAAGTTAGATTTCTGATATTAAAGTCAGAATTCTGACTTTTTTTCCCATGTTAAACTGAAAAGTTAGTTATACGTCAGCCTGTACACCTAAATACAGTAAAGTCGGGCACCACTTGGGAGAATTCGGAAATGCAACGGTTGGAAGAGCCGCTTCTCTACGACTTTAAAGATGAAGGGGGAGTCTGTTGTGTTTCGTTTGGGGGCAAATATACGAGAGGAACTGGGTCCTTTTTACGCATCACCGCAGATGTGTGTAAACATGGTCATAACTGAAGAAGAAAAAAGAGAAAATACAGGCAGCAGTGAGGCAGCACATTTCCAGGAATAAAAGACTCAGCGCTTCCATGGCAACAGCAAGCAGAACCAGGGAGGCGAGGAGAAAACAAGAGGTTTCAGCTTCACTCAAAAGATCAACCATAAACCACCTGGGGAAAGACCAAATTCCTTCGTCACTGATGTGAAAAGGAACCGGGACGGACTTCCAGCTTTGTGCCGGTCCAGTTTTCCTCTCTGCTGTGTTCAGGAGGAAACCAACACAAACAGGAAATGGCCATTTTTACAGTTTATACACTTGCTTCTGCTGCTGAACACAGAAGTAGACCCCCTTAAAAGAAAAAAAAAATCTGATTGCACAAGAGAAGTTTAAATCAAACCGTCTAAACTATAATTAAGCTTTAAAACAGCTCCAGACTGGATTTATGAATCAAACTAAACCACAAATGATCCAGCAGCAGCAGAGATTTCAGCCTCTGTCAGAGCACAACATGTGGTTCTCTTTAAAGTCTCCTCTGGGAGCGACAGAGCTGAAAACACTCCTGCAGGCTACAGCTTTTAAAAGTGAAACAAAAAGAAAGACGGGGAACAGGCATCTAGAGTTAGATTTTCATCCCGGTGAGTCAGCAGGATCAGTCAAGGTGTTTATGTCGCCCTTTAATCCCATAAAGTCTTTTTTATGGTGTTCCTGTAGAGCTCCAATTGTAGTTAAATGAGCCCTTACTCCATTAACACAGACTGGTTCCACATTCAGTCACCAATTAAAAAAGGAAACCTCTTTACTTTTACTGTCTTTAATTAATTTCTTTAATTACACATATCAGTTGAGTTTCTCTGCAACTGACTGACTGGTGCCCCCCGCACCGGACCCACCGCGACCCCGGTTGGACAGAACATTTCTTGCACATTTTCTAACCTTTCTCTTTCAAAAATAAAACACTTAAAGAAGCAGATAATCAGGCTGAATTGAGGAATAAAAGCAAAAACATTTTGATTTATTATAACAGTAATGGTATT